GAGAGGTAACAAACGACTCTCTTTATTGACAGGTAGTACTATGCCGGTTACATAAGCGGCGGCGTGTGCCAAGGACGGGCTCCGTACATGCTGAACTGCAGTTCCTGTTTAGTAACAAATCTTTGGCAGCCGCCGGAGTCTCAGGATTTGGCAGCTACTTGAAAAGTTCCCCGGCCTCGTCTTCGGCCTCGTTAATGGCCGGGGTGCGGGGATTAGGAAGTGCCATCTGCACCGCGCTGAACACGGCCAGGAGGAGGAATTCTCAATAAAACAGGGCAATGTTCTAGAGCCGGGGTTCTCCACCTGTGTAACCTCAGGACCCACATTTGTCCCCGGTCATTAAGTTGTGGCCCAAGTCACGCTGCAATGGTATGCACGGCAGGGGCGTCCCGAGACTGGCTGACACCAGGAGCGGTAACCGAGTGTCACCCCTCCGAGACGTCACTGCGCATGCTCGGGACGTCACCACGAGCGTGCGTGATGATGTCATCGGGCGGCAGTATTCTGATACCTGCCGGCGGCCATCTTGGTGATGGACGCCGGCAGAGAGAGGAGGGGACAGTCACCCGGCGGGATAAGGTATGCCGCCGGGTCCCCTCCTCTCTCCTGATACTGTCGGGCATCCGGTCCATGACCGAGCGCCCGACTTTTCAGAGGGTGGCGACACCAAAATGCCCGAGTCATTTTGGTGTCACCCGGGTGCGGGCCGCAGCCCCCTTGTGACGCCACTGATGCACAGCATTGCGGTACCATGCATTCAGGTGCGGGCAATCGAATTGTGGGTGGGAGGTGCGTTTGGGGTGCCATTCAAATGAATGGCAACTCAACACACCTCCCACACCAGAACACATGGTATGTCCACCCTGTCTCCATACCTAACGAATGGATCCTCAGCCTGGGGTCCAGTGTGCGGCTGCTGTGCTGTGACTGAACCCCATCCATATGAGCATTGCTTGTACAGCTCCCTTGCGCGCCCTGTAGAGGTGTCTGTAGAGGCAACCAGTGACATCACTGGTTGCCAGGACTGGGAGGGGGTGTGGGCACCCTTACACATCTCCCGGCCTGACTCTGATTGTGCACCATTCAGCACAGTCGCCGCCCACCCATCCACGGCTGCTTCAGGTGTCAAAAAGGCTGGGGACACCCCTGGCCACCAGAACAGGAATTGATGAATAATCTTAAAAACGGGAACATTAGTTTTGGTGACCCACTGACCACCAGGGATTTCCCTCACTTAGGAGAGAGTTCCCCTCACTTCCTGTTGTGGCTATCGGGACAGGAAGTGAAGGAAATCTCCCCAGAGATGCCAACAAAAGCCGACAGGGGTTATAACTCTCCCTTATTCCAACCAGAACCGAAAAGTAATTTTGGCTTCAAGTCTTTTGAAGGACATTTTATAGGAAGAAGTCCATTTCTTACACAGAACCGTTTCTAAATCAAAAAAGTAACATTTTCTACAAAGAACATTTATGAGCAATTTTTTATTTTGCCCTAATTTGCAACAGTGTGTCAACCAGGGTCAAATCACTTAACAGGCCAATTCCTGACCCCCTCCCCCCCGAGAACCGGCACAATTCTCAGCGGGAACTCAGACCGCTACAAATCGCATTTCATGCCATTCGGTTTATGGCGCAGAAAAGAGACGACAGGAGGCCAAAAAGTTCGATCTTGGGGACACGAAAGTTACATAACAAATCTGTAGCCGGAGCACAAAGAATGCGGTCACCAGAAAACCCCAATTATCAGGACATGGAGGCTGGGAGTGAACGGCGGCGAAATATGACCTCGGCCAGACGGACCGGAGACTGGCAGCAGCGCCTGCGCCCATCCAGAGGGGGAACCGCCTGCTCCTTGGGATTAAGAATGACATTTCGGAGAAAACGAGATCGCCGTTTCCACAAACTGCATTTAAAGTCGAACTAAAAGACATTTTCATTTTAATGTAGAACAAAAGCTGAAGTGCCCACCTTGAGCTCCAGGACCAGGTCCATCCTCTTCCGGCCCAGCGGGTTGATGTCATTCAGGATCAGCGCTGTGATGATGTCGATGCCGTTTGACTCATGGGTGGCGATGCAGTTCTGTAGGGTGACAACGGTATAGTGGGGGTTAGGTTTATGTCACACCAGTAATGTGGCACAGTGCGCCTATGCTTGGCATTGTGTTAGGAAAACATTAGGGATGCATCGATACTAGTATCGGTATCGGTGCCAATACTGAGTATTTGGGTGGGTACTCGTACTCGCCCAAATGCTCCGATACCTAACAAGAGTACTTCCTGTATCAGGAAGCCGGGCTGCGCATCATTACACGCTGCCCGGTTTCCTGATTGGCCCGGAAACGGCTCCATGCTCTCTCGTCACTTGTGATGAGCGAGCATGGAGCCGATTTCCTGGCCAATCAGGAAGCCGGGTAGCGTGTACCGACGCCCTGCCTGGCTTCCCGATTGGTCAGGAAGCTAGCAAATCCGGGCGCCGTATAATGACGCAGCGCCGGCATTGAGATTGGCCGGAAAGGCGGCGTCATGCTCCCTCGTCATCTCATGAATCATAATATTAAGAAACTGACCTTAAATCATTAGTTTGTATTGCTTTAGAAAAAATGTGACCTGTCCTTTTAAGGAAAAGTATCGGTAATTGGTATCGGCGAGTACTTGAGCAAAAGTATCGGTACTCGGTCGTAAAAAAGTGGTATCGGCGCATCCCTAGAAAACATGAAAAGGTCTGTGTCATAGAAACAGAAAATGTCCATTATTTGTAGCTCGGTCATGGAGCAATTAGTTTTTGTGCAGCAATCACTAACTTTATTATCTGCTCATGTTATCCAATGCAGTGCCACGGCACATCCGAGATTAGTATTAAGCTGGTCATACACTGCTCAAATTTCGGAAGACTCGGGCCGGAATTCCAGCTCTGGGTGGCCCTGTTGGCAACCCAACCCTTTCACCCCTCCAACTAGATAAAATCGAGACTGGTTGCCAGAGCGTCCCAGATTGCCAAGAGCTGGACGTCGAGATCCAAAGCCTGTTCAGCTCTTAGTGGCATCAGTCTCCACCTACCTATGGCATGCATCACCAGCAACCCCCTGCCCTCCAATCCCCCCCCTTCCTCATCCAGCCTCAGGCGGCAAAAAGGGACACCCCTGCGTGTATAGCCACCTTCATAGGCAGGCACAGCTGTAACTTTGTAGCAGCTACAAAACAAAAAGGAGAGACCTTACAAATCTCTACTACAAAGTCACTGGTGTGATGTGGTCGTTAAGACGGCCAAACGTCTGGCAATTCATTTGCAGTATTAAAACTATCGATACCATTTAATCAAGAAGGGGGGGGGGGCTATAATACTTTTTCCTAAAAATATTTACCTAAAAATGGAGGGGCCCGGTAAAAACCAATACCAGGAAGCGGCTGTCTTACTCTGCAAAATTTAAACTGGATGTAATCAGTTATGCAAAAGAGCATGGAAAATATTGATTTCTGAATTTCGGGTAAGAAAAGTGGGGGGCGTCCTATACATGGGGGCGTCTTATAGACGGAAAAATACGGTACTATGAAGTGTTGGGCCACCACCGATCGATTCTGGCAACTAATAATCTGCAATATTGTTACTTTGTTGCCAGATTTAGGACCTCCCATTCTTCTCCTGAGGGAGCCGGTTTACCATCAGGGAAACGCATTGAGAGGCGGCCTCGTGTCTCAGCAAAATACCGGCTTGAAAACATGAAGATAACGTGATATGGATATCAACAAGCGGATCTATTGTCTATAAGCCGAGCAGCTGGCATCGAGTGTGCGGGTACATGGAGGTGTGCACGTGAATGGAAGACGCAGAGGAGTCATATAGAGAGACTGGATCTTTGTGCTGGCTGAGCGGAGTTTTCTGTATCCTCGCTAAACGATGAAAAGAACCGAAAATGTATAAAAAAAACTTCTATATTGTTATTTTGTATTAACTCTATTGGACTTGTAAACCGCTTCTGGGACCCAATAGACAGGTGCCTGGAAACTGATTGAGGGTTGAGTTCTGCCTCAAATCTTCAAGCAATTTCTAGACATTATACACACACTATATTGCCAAAAGTATTGGGCCCCTCCCCCTCCAAATCATTGGATTCAGTGTATTTATTATCCACGCGCTGCGTTCTCCCATGCCCTACATAAACATGTTTGTCCTTGGCAGGGGCCCCGTGTCCTGTGTACCCAGACTGCCTGAACGGCGAGTCGTCATCCAGAACTTTCACACTTTGTTCAGGAGACGCGAGCGGCGGCGGTCTGTGTGCCAGGCACGCCCATTGTGCCCCGGCTTTCGAAGTACTCCGTGTGCAGGATGGCATCCCAAGGCGTGTCCCCGGCACCCAGATTACATAACACGTTACAGAGCGTTCCAGGAAACCATCCAACACGTGCGCAGTGTCTCAGGGTCAGAGCGCTTATGTAATAGATCCGCACAGAGGGTAGGCGGCCGTCCCAGCCAATCAGATAAGGGCGGAATCGCCTACACTCTGTACTGCGGCGCCTCGTGCTGTGTACCAGACACACACACACCTGGTTCTCGTGGCACGGGCCCTGGCAGTACTCCGTCAGGCTCTCCAGCGTCTGGTTGATGAGGGCGACGTTCTTTTCGTTGATATAGAGCCCCAGCAGGCCCAGGCCGCCCGTGGTGCTGCCGCAGATGCAGTCCAGGAACTGCAGAGTCTCGCACACCAGGTTGTAGTTGGTCTTGTTGTTCTGGGAGCGCAGGAAGTTCTGTAAGAAACATCGAAATGGCATTTAGGGCACCCAGAAATGTGTTTAAAGGGCCGGTCCACCCAAAAGTGATATTTTAGTTATGGGTGGAGCTCGGTGGAGAGTTCAGTCCCCGGCTTTTTATATGCCTTGGATACTACAACAGTGAGATCTCCACGTCGGCATCTTTGCGCAATCAATTTTCCTGCTAAATCCGACCCATTTAAGTGCAACCGTCCCGTCCCTGCGGCTGCAATATATTGATTTAGGATCAGCCAGTGCAATGGGGAGATTCACTCTCCACTCACAACCGCCCCCCCCGAGTAGTTTGCGCCTCTGACCCTCCCACAATAATATTTCCTCCAGTAATTTGTGTCTCTGCCCCTCCCACAATGGTGAGCTTTCCCTCCAATAGTTTGCGCCTCCCACAATGGCGAGATCTCCCCCAGTAGTTTGGTGTCTCTGCCCCGCCCACAATGGTGAGATCTCCCCTAGTTGGTGTCTCTGCTCCTCCCACAATGGTGAGATTTCCCCTGAATAGTTGGTGTCTCTGCTCCTCCCACAATGGTGAGATCTCCCCTAGTTGGTGTCTCTGCTCCTCCCACAATGGTGAGATTTCCCCTGAATAGTTGGTGTATCTGCCCCTCCCACAATGGTGAGATTTCCCCTGAATAGTTGGTGTCTCTGCTCCTCCCACAATGGTGAGATTTCCCCTGAATAGTTGGTGTCTCTGCTCCTCCCACAATGGTGAGATTTCCTCCCGTGGTTGGTGTCTCTGCCCCTCCCACAATGGTGAGATTTCCCCTGAATAGTTGGTGTCTCTGCTCCTCCCACAATGGTGAGATTTCCCCTGAATAGTTGGTGTCTCTGCTCCTCCCACAATGGTGAGATTTCCTCCCGTGGTTGGTGTCTCTGCCCCTCCCAGGAATATCAGTTTTCCCCGCCCCTCAGCTCTTTTCCTTACCTGCAGGTCCCGGTTGTGGTTCTCGCAGAGCAGCTGTAGGAATCGCAGGATTGGCTGCATGATTGTGATGATGGGAGTCATTTCAAGCTCATCCGGCCCTTTCTCCGAGTTGGCCAATCCTCCGTCGCCCCCCGAGAAGTGGTCGTCCGGGTCGACCTCCCGGCGGAAAGAGTTGAAAGCCTTCTTGGTGGCGACAGTGGCCTCCAACAGCAGCTCTTTGGCCTCTTCCGTTATTTGCATACCGGCCTCTCGCGCTGCGGAGGAAGGGGAGCAAGCAGGGAACATTTAGAGGAAAGGACATTTCCAAAACCGCTCCCACAACCTTTCACCCTCCTGTTGACTTTGCCTAGGCTGAGATGTCATCAGTAGGGATGTCCCGATACCGATGCTAGCATCGGAATCGGACCCGATACAGGGCATTTTGACAAGTGCTTGTCAAAATGCGCCGAAGCTTGCGCTATGTTTTTTTTTGTTTCTTCCTACTTACCTCGCCGAGCGTCGCGTCACTGCTGCTACGGTGGGCGGCGCTCCGAGCGGGGTCATCTGGATGGAGATCAGTCTGCAACATTGTAACTTGGTCACATGATGAGAGGCTGCAGCGGAGGGGGTGGGGTAATAGAATCCGACGGGGGAAGGGACGCCCCTTTCTAAAGGGCTAAGAACTCCAAACACAAATATATTTTCACATTCACCCAACTGGAACCCAGGCCCTCTCACAGTGCTTGGCCACCCGCTATCAGACCCTGACCTCTCTTGTGGTGCGGAGTCTCCCTCTCAGACGGCTCCTCATCTCGCCTCTTGCTGCCGAGGTCGCTGGTGTTCACCGTGACCGTGGCCTTGATTTCCTGTTGGGCGACTTTTATCCGATCGAAGAAAACCTTAAAGAACTTCTCCGACTTCTTGTCCTCGGTCAGCCGGCAGAAGAAGGAATGCTGCGGAAAGAGGAAACGGGTTAGGGAGGGTTTATATCCTACTATAAATACATAATATAGATCTATACATCTATATCTATAGGTGTTATACACACACACAAAAATATATAATAAATATTAATATGTATATACAGTGTATATGTATACAAAAATATATATTTCTACGCACATGTGTACCGTTAGCCTTCCCAGAAGAGGCGGAGCTGTTATAGCGGCAAAGGGCGGAGGCGCAGCAGCTCAGCCATTGACGTTCTTAGTCCAAGTCTGATCGGGATTAAAAAGGACACAGTCGGGGAGAGCACATTATGGGAACAGCCAATGCTGACTTATGGGAGGTGCATGTCACCTTTATCCTCAGTACATGGACCTGGAATAGGCACGTTCATGTCTGGCGGATTACACACACACACGCTGCAGGAGTTTTAACCCTTCCCTACTCTATTCGACATGAACAGGTTTTTGATTTAGGCCCCGATTACGCTTCACACGCATATAGATTAGGGTTGCCGCCTGTCCAGGATTCACCCGGACAGTCCGGGTTTGGAATGCTGCATCCGGGTTTCATGGCAGCAGAAACCCAGACACAAAAGGTCAGGCAGACAGGGGCAACCAAAATAAGACAGGGGCGACTGGCTGCGCCCCCTCTCAGCTGCGCCTGAGGCGAGTGCCTCACACGCCCCATGGTAGCTACAGCCCTGACGGCATGACACGCTTGCAGCGCCATTACTGGTTAATGGTCCAGAAACGCGGCAGGAAAAAGGCGTCTTTGTCCGCGCTGCATGAGCTTCTTCACCGTTTGTCGTGAGTAGGACCGGCCATTGAAATGAATGGGCTGACGCGGAGTAAACGCACCACAAAGTGTGCATTAGGCCTTCGTTATTATGTAACTGGAATGTTCCTGATTTCCCACTGCTGAGGGCAGAAGCAGCAAAGTAAAAATTGTTACATTGTTTCCCAATGATCTTCAGCTCGGAGATTCCTCTTTATTAATGACCGTTACTTCCTGAGGCCTGACTTGTGGCCCCTTGGCACTTCCTAGGTTATTCTTGGGGCCCCTGAAGACATTAGTCTGTGTTTCAGTAAAAGAAAATATACTTCAGACCGGCAATTGGATAAATCGTTTATTCCTTTCACAGCAACTTATTTATTTCTGTGCCGTCTCCAACCATCACCCTGCAGCAGGTCTGCCGTCTCCAACCATCACCCTGCAGCAGGTCTGCCGTCTCCAACCATCTCCTGCAGCAGGTCTGCCGTCTCCAGCCATCTCCTGCAGCAGGTCTGCCGTCTCTAGCCATCTCCTGCAGCATGTCTGCGGTCTCTAACCATCTCCTGCAGCATGTCTGCGGTCTCTAACCATCTCCTGCAGCATGTCTGCGGTCTCTAACCATCTCCTGCAGCATGTCTGCGGTCTCTAACCATCTCCTGCAGCATGTCTGCGGTCTCTAACCATCTCCTGCAGCATGTCTGCGGTCTCTAACCATCTCCTGCAGCATGTCTGCGGTCTCTAACCATCTCCTGTTGCATGTCTCTAGTCTGATAGCTTTCTGTAGAATTATATTGAATGACTGACATAGCAAGCTAGTGAACTGCTGCACGCTCAGCCACTCTTTGGTGGAATACGTCAGCTGAACAATAAAAACACGCACCGGAGCGGCTGCTGCACGAGTGTGGCTCTCTTTTGTATTGGGGGGGGGGGGGGGGGGGGGTT